TTGGGAGCTCCACTATATACGACAAGCAATTTTGATGCTCGGTGTAATAAAAGAAACAAAAGACGGAAACAAACAAAGATGAAACAAAAGTTGAATGAAACGATGCTAATATAAAAGCACACAGATGTCGAAGCTTTTCAGCGACGACCTTGAAATCTTATATATTATATATTTTTATTATTTTATTTAATTCGCATTATAAATATGCATTTCTATGTAAATAACGTCTCGTTAATATTTATAACTCATGTTGTTTTTAATTATTGTTGCAAATTTGCGTAATTCTTGCTTTAAATTCTTAAAGAAAAACAGAAAATATTAGTTTGAATTACTCTATTAGTGCAATTACAAGTTTTCCAAAGAAAATAATGATATAAATATAAAATTACACTGTGTTTTTACGATTTTTCTTTGCCTTCGTAATACAACCGAATCAACTTCCGGAATTCTTTTTCCGGCTTGAAAAACGTAACATAAGAGCAAAAAAACTCGATTTTACAAGAAATGGTACTGTTCATAAATACAATGTACTTTTGTTGGAAATAGGAAAAAAATTACACGAAAATGCTTTTCACATTTTCTCGCGTTCCAAACATAAAGAGAAATATTAACACTCGACTATTGCGTAACACAAAATTAAAAATTTTATTTGATTGTTACGAATGTATAGAAGATGTGCTTTACAGGAAAACAAAATGTTGGTTACAAAGCTTTTTTTGTTGCCTCAAAAATGTTGTATATTATATTACGCAAAAAGTGGATATCTACGTTTGCTGTGTGATTTTTTTTGTCCATTTCGCCGATTAATAACAAATGATATAACAAACATAGGTTGAGTTTGTTTTACTACCTAATATGCAAAAATAAAATAGTTGGCTGTGCAAAATTAAAATGCCTTTTTAGTTGTACATTATTTTAACACTAGAGGATTTTAACTGCGTTTGTTGTTTAAATATTGTGTGAGATTTTGGTTAAGTTTAAATTTTGATGCTCAGTGTAAGAAAAGAAACAAAAGACAGAAGTAAACAAAGATGAAACTAATATAAAAGCACACAGATGTCGAAGCTTTCTAGAGTTGACCTTCAAATCTTTTCATATGCGTATCGCAACGATTATATAATTTTGTTAATTTATTTAATTCGCATTATAAATATGCATTTCTAAGTAAATAACGTCACGTTAATATTTATTACTCATTTTTTTAAATTATTGTTGCAGATTTGCTTTAAAATAACAAAAAACATTAGTTTGAATTACTCTATTAGTGTAATTACACATTTACAAGTTTTCCAAAGAAAATAATTAATTTTTTTTTTAAACCGTTTACTTGATGAGACTTTGTACAGGAAGCAGTATCAAATTACATTGTGCTTTTACGATTTTTCAACTTTTGGAATTCTTTTTCCGGCATGAGAAACGTAACATACGAGCAGAAAAAAACATGATTTTACAAAAAAAATTGTATTTTTCATATATATAATGTACTCTTGTTGGAAATAGGAAAAATTTTACACAAAAATGCTTTTCGCATTTTCTCGTGTCCGAAACATAAAGAGAAATATGAACACTCGACTATTGCGTAACACAAAAGTTTTTTTTTAAAGTTTATTTGATCGTTGTCATTGGATTGAAGCTTTTTTTTGCAGGAACACAAAATCAAAGGTTTTTTTTTGTTACTTCAAAAGTTTTGTAAATTATATTACGCATAAAGTGAAAAAATACACAACAAACATAGATAGTTTGCTGTATGATTTTTTTGTCCATTTCGCCGATTTATAACAAAAATAGGATACGTTTGTATATGTAAACATAAACTATTTTGCTGTACAAAATTAAAATGTTGTTTAAATATTGTGTGAAAAGTTTTTTACAACTATTTCACCCGTTTGGCGATAAATATTTCTTAAGTTTATTTGAACATTAACTCTGAATTATATGAGTAATATTATGTAATAAAGTCGAGTTTGCTTTTGCGAAATTTAAGTACTTTGTTCCCTTGGTTATTACATTGTTTACCATAACGTGAATGGAGCTATAATACACACAAAAAGTGTTGGTATTATTCGTGAAAATGTTGCAATAAATATTGACTATGAGACGTGCGACATTCGACGAAATTTATGATCGAAGATTTAAAAAAAAAAGCGGAATAAATTCTTCTAGGATAATCGCAAAGTAGACACTCAATCTAAAGCGTGACGCAAAGGTATAGTCAATAATTATGAAGTGTTATTGTAGCCGAGAACACGCAGATAAATATCAATTATGTAATAAGTTATTCACACTGGTGCGGTCTACGTGCCAACGCAACAGACGTTAACGAAATGTATTGTTACGCTTTCTCACCCTTACATCTCTCGAGAACATCTTCATAAATTGTAAGGCGATTCCATTTAATGAGGATGTTAACGAAAGGTTTGCAAACTCAACCCTTTTCCCAAGAAAAAAGCTTCGTTTTTATGCTCTTCAACTTTATTCCTCATTTTCTTTTTTCGTAATTTTCTCGGGAATGGAAATCGATTGTATTTTTCTTGAATTTGAAGTAAAGTAGATGGAATTGGAATGCTGAATGAGAAGCAAACAGATTTCACAGAGACATTCGGCAATGCGAGAATCAATAAATATGCAAATTTTCTATTGAGGCAAATAAAAGTCTTTTTGTAGTCCTTTTGCTGCGTTATACAAGGGTATAGATTTCACGCGAATCTTCTCTGTTTCTTCGGGGTCACGCATCACGCACAGCCCTGTAATCATTAGCGATGAATTGGATGGAGGATGATAAAGGTTAGACCGCAAAGAAAAACGTTAAACGATTCCTAATTGCGTTAAATTGATCCTAGGCCTAATTTAATTGAACGCCGCGAAACCGGACGTGCCCAATAATTACATTAAATTGGACAATTAATTGAATTGTTCGTGAATTTATTCATAACTATTCGCTTTCATGTTAATTAATTAACGATTTTACGAACTGATTTAATTGAATTTCTGTTTCATTTTATAGAAACGACGTTTATTAACCAAGTATACTTGGAAATACCCAAATTTATTTATACAACAATTCATACATTTTATTTTAAATATTCTATACGGTTGGCAAGAAAGTACTTGCAGTTTTTTAGTGTGAATTAAACTTTTTTTGTGTGAACTTTAATTAATTATATAATTTTGCTATCTTTCTGGCATCTTCATAATTCTTCGATTTTAGGTCATCATAATTCATGAAATTTTTACCATTCAAAGAGTTTTGCAAAGTTATAAATAAGTGGTAATCTGATGGTACAAGGTCAAGGCTATATGGGAAATGCGGCATCACTTTCCAACTAACCTTCAATAATTTTCCACAAGTTAACAAAGATTTAAGCCAATTTTCTTTTGATTCCTTCCTCCAGTTTCATTAGTTATTAACACAACACCTTTGTAATCCCATCAAATTGATGGCATCCTTTTTTGATGCAAATCGGCTTTTGCTATTATTAGACAATACATTTTTTATTACCAGCGATTTGTTTAAAATTGTGGCAATTTTAGTGGTTTTCAGATGAATAATAGTTTTCTATTCTTTATGCAACATTTATATATATTTATTGGAATGGATTTTTTTTTTGAGAAATAATAATTTTGTATAAAAATTTAATAACTTATTACATTTATGTATTGATACATGTATTTCAATGAAAAAAAGAAATAGTTCTTACAAATAAATTGTTATGAAATCGATCGACTAATTATTTTATATTGTATAATTTATTGTTGAATATTTGCCTTAATTGATGTACCTTCCTATAATTAATAAAAGTGAAGAAAAAAAAATACGAAATTCTTAGGACAGAAATGAGAACAACTTTTCGACTCTTGTATCCACTTAAATAAACGATCAATTAATTCACAAACTATTTAAAAAAAAAATAACGATCATGAAATAGCAAATAAAAATGCATATTATACAGTTTGGACTTTTCAAATAACTTAATTAGATATGTGAACATATTAAGTAATTTCATTTTTCATCTATAATTATATTAATTGCAATTAACCGTTTTATTTCTGTAAATGTTGGAACAATAAAAACGACCAGTAATCATCATAAATGTTTAATAAAATCAGCTATCATTAGGCGAAATATGGACACAACATTGCCAACTGTTCAAAAGTTATAGCAGTTTTAAGTTGGTTGCAGTTCAATTGGATAACTCTATAATAATACATATTAATTGTATAACAAAAGAAGAAGAAAAGAAAAAACTAACGATTCATACGTAATTTAATTAAATTTTAGATTTGAACGAATTTAATAAAAATTTTAAAAAATTTTGTTTTTCACTTTATTTATTAAATTGTAATTTTTTTTCTATTAAACAATTTAAATTTATTGCGTGAATATTTAAACATGTTTACGTTGCAGTATTCCATAAAAATATGTTTTTATTGAAAATATTATGGATAATATATTATAATAATAACACCATAAATATTCAATTTACAAACGTAAAATTAAATCAAATTAAAAACTAGTTTTTTTTTATATTTAAATTATATTTTAAGTGCAAACTGAACTTTCAGTTATTGAATTCAAGACTTATTCCATTTTCTTATATAAATATGAACAAATAAATTTTTGTAAAATTGCTTTGGGGAATTATAAGAAAACAATATTAATTTCAATAAAACCATTCAAATTATTGAATTGCTGCATAAGTGATGTATGTAATCATTACGTCTATGTAAATGGTATCCATGACAAAGTTTGGTAACTACGTCCGGTAATTTGAAACGCAAACATTTGATTTGTAATGTATTAGTACATAATCCCAATTAGTTAATTAATTAGTGAATTGATGATTCAATAGAACTAATGAACTTTAATATAATACTAATTTAATATTTGTGATGTTGAATAAACGCCATCTAATATCTTAATAAAAAAATAATTAATTTGACACTATTCAAATATTTTGTTTCTTGTGTCAAAGTATCTATTAAAAGTTGTTGCTGAAGTGATGAGTTCATCCGATGATTTTGGTTGTCTTCGACCGGACGAGGTTCTTCAGGAATGCTTGAAAAGCATTCTGAAACTGCTGAAGGACGAGATGAGCAGCGAAAAATTGGACAGCGATCAGAAGGAATCGCTCGGTGTGGCCAAACAGTGCCTGGAATCGTGTTATTCTTTGGAAGATGCGGATCTTGCAAACGCCGTCAGTTTGGTAAACGCATTCAACGAGTTGACTTATCCTCCGGTTAAGAACGTCTTGGATTTAGCGGAATCGCTTAAAACTAAAGGAAATGAAGCGATGAAAGATGGTAACTATTCGTTGGCTTTGGATTGCTATACCAAAGCCATCGAAGTTGACTGCAAGCGAGCTGTGTACTTCTGCAATCGCGCTGCCGCTTACAGTAAACTGGATAGACATCAGGAGGCAATAGACGATTGCAAAGAGGCCATCAAGTTGGATTCGAAATACGGGAAAGCGTACGGCCGTTTGGGAATTGCGTACGCAAATTTGAACATGTTTCAGGATGCTGCGAACGCTTACAAAGATGCGTTGAGGCTGGATCCATCCAACGCTTCGTATGAAGCTAATTTGAAGTTGGCGGAAACTAAGATCGTGTCTTCTTCGTATGGGGAAGGATTCGATTATAATGCTTTGCTGGATGATCCTGCTGTACTGAGCATGGCTTCGCAGATGATCAGTGATCCGTCTTTTTTGAACGTCGTTTCTGGGATAATGTCTTCAGGTGCTGGCGGTGATCCGAACATTGGAGCTTTCCTAGCTGTCGGTCAACAATTTGCGGAGCGCATGCAAAGCCACAGTCCGGGAATAATGGAGAATCTTCGGCAGTCTTTTTCATCTCTTGGTCAAGGCGATAATCACACAAATTCAACCCAGAATAAAGAACAAGAGAAAAAAGATTAACAAGTTGTTAACAAGTTCATTCATAATTCTATTCGATAATATTAATTTTTTTATAGCATTCACATTACAATTGTTTAAAAAAGAGGAAAATTTAAGCAACAATATGTATTTTCATGATTTCATTTAGCAATTAAAACGTTTAAAATTTCAATTATTTGGTACATCTTAAAATTGTTTGAATTAAAGAAAAATTTTAAGTGTTTCTTTTTAACTATAAATTCAGCAGAAAATCACACAAATTTACAAATCTTAGTTTGGGAAAATGAAGATTATGTAAGTATAATTTATTTTAGTGAAATTTAGAGATAATTCATATTGAAAAATTCAGTTAGAAATTTTTGATAAAAGAAAACAAACTTACAATTATAATTCGAAATTAAAACTAATTGAAAACATAAATGAATAAAAGAATTTTTTTGTTGACGATTACAAAATTATGTAGAAACTACATTAATCAAACACGTAAAATTTAATTGTTTAAAAAAGAGGAAAATTTAAGCAACAATATGTATTTTCATGATTCCATTTAGCAATTAAAACGTTTAAAATTTAAATTATTTGGTACATCTTAAAATTGTTTGAATTAAAGAAAAATTTTAAGTGTTTTCTTTTTAACTATCAATTTAGCGGAAAATATGAACTTAAATTGGAAAAAAAAATATGATTTACAAATCTTAGTTTGGGAAAATTAAGATTATGTAAGTATAATTTATTTTAGTGAAATTTCCGATTTTAAGAGATAATTCATATTGAAAAATTCAGTTAGAAATTTTTGATTAAAGAAAAGAAACTTACAATTATTGTTAACAAGTTCATTCATAATTCTATTCGATAATATTAATTTGTTTATAGCTTTCACATTACAATTGTTTAAAAAAGAGGAAATTTTAAGCAACAATATGTATTTTCATAATTCCATTTAGCAATTAAAACGTTTAAAATTTAAATTA